TATATTTGGGATAGATCTTCATATACAAAGGATAAATCCTTATTTACTAACATTTGTAATACACCTAGTATGTACATAGTGCTTTATACATATTAACAACATGAAGAATGTTTTCTTCCTTTTAGAAGATGAAGAAACTGAGGCTTATACCTTATGTAACTTGCCAAAGCTAATATAATGACTTATTTACAACTAGTAATAAGTAGAGAAAGGATCTGAACAGTGGCCATCTGAATCTACAGTCTTCAGACTTTCTCCACTAACCATGCTGTCTCAGTTTAAATGACATAGATTCAAGATACAGATATAAAAAGATATAGGGTTTAAGTGAATACTGTAATGTTTCTACTTTTGATACTAATGTAAATATACAAGAAAAAACAGCTTATGAAATCATTCTCAAGGGTTTAATTAAAATCCATATAGCATTTAACATGTATAGATGTTTTAACTCTTTCAATGACTCTCATATTTTAAAATCCTTCTGCACAACATTTTGAGGCTAACTTCATGCTAGAAATCTACAAATGTACAACTTAACACAAAAATACATTCGGAGTCCATTCCAATGCAAGTTTAAAACACTTTAATTGCAGACAATGTAAAGATATTTAAAAAACCAAAACTACAAAATGAGCACATAAAAGTCTTCCCTTTTGAATTTTTAATAAAATACTGCTCTGTATAAGATCTAATGAAAAATTCCAATTACTTATAAAATAGCTATGTGAGAAAAGAAATGAGTTAAGATACATATGTATGAATTATATTGTTTAAATGAACAGAATGTTGAACACTTTAATTATACAGCACACGATTTATTACTCATATATCAAAATAGATGAAAACCCTCAGAGAAGCAACTGGGTGCAAGCAAAAGAAAATGTAAGAGAACTGAAGCAACAAAACAAAACAAAACAACAAAAAAACCAAACCCCAAAACAAAGGAAAAAGCCCCTTAGCTGTAAAGGGAAAGGAATAAAATAACTTAAAGCAAACTGTGGACCAAATTCTCAGTCCTATTATTTCATGAGAAACAGTATGAGAATTTAGCTTCACAATACTAAAATATCTGTAGAAGCTTAATTATTTGGCCTAGGCAATTTAATAGTATACCAACTGCCGAAATCAACAGCAATGGCTGTACTTCTGGAAAAAAATTAATTTTTACAGGTTTAACTACGTAAAACTATCTATTGGAAACCAGAGTCTCCATCACAAATTGCACTTGAGATGGCTGAATGCATTGATTGAGCAAGGCATAATTGTTGGTTCACTGACATACACACAAATACAAAAGCAGCTATATTCCTGATATTCTTCATTACTAAAACTATTTTATACATTTTTTTCCCTCTTAAAAAAAAAAAAAAATCAGTGCCGTCGGAGCTTTTAACTCAGTGTTGTAACATTGACACTTCCACACGCCTGCTGACTCAGCACTGTTGTCTGTTTCAACACTGTCTCTTACTGCCCCCTGGTGGAAGATGGAGAAGTCTGATGGAAATACGAACCAGGTCAGTTTTAAAAATATTCATTTCTGGAATTTTAAGCCTTATCCTGACTACGAAAAGGAAGCTCCCATGAAAAAGACTATTCCACTGACAAAGCTTACAAAATATATGTAAAGAACACTGCCAGTTTGAGTACTATCACTATCTCTAGAAAAACGATAAAGGAACTTCTGTGATTTTTTTTTTTTTTTTTTTTTGAGTAGAGAATGCCTGTCAGTTATTTCTTTCCAATACATTAATTGTCCTCTACAGTAAAAATGTAATTTGAAAGCAATATGATCCTAAGAAAGATAGAAAGCTCAAAAAGTTGTGGAAGTGTACACAGTTGTTTTAAAAAAGATGCTCTGAACGATGAGACAAAGCACATTAGGCCTAATTTCAATGGAGATCTGGACAGTTCTATTTACTTAATGTAAAAATTAGACTACCATTATAAAAATGTATGATTCATTAATACAAATAGGACAGATGATTAAAAAGTGAGTGAATAAAAAAGCCCCTGCAGCTTATCTACTTCCTTGAGCTAGAAATATAGTCTGAAAATGCAGTGATTGATCTTATTTAATTAGATTGCTTCTTCTACCTCTTCACTGACCCTCCCCTTGAAACGAAGAATTTGGATTAGTTTGGAAATATCAGTCTAAAACCAAAGCAAATACTTGATCACCTGATCATAGAAGAAGAAGTAAACAACAAAAAACCCGCATTAAGAGTTATTTCTCCCACCAACAGAAAAAAAAAAAAAACAAAAAAACACCTTATCTTTTCAGTTCTAAAGGAACTACTTATCCCTCTGAAAAGCAAGGAAGTCTTAACTTGAAACCAAGGTACACACAGTGGCAAAAATAATTTTCCATGCAACTGTCTCTCTGATGTTTAAGACTTTAGTCTACATGATGTTTAAATCAATTACATTCTGTCAAATTATAAAACTCAGGTAATGATCAGGTAATGCAGGAAACGGTAACAAGGTATGATGAGACTAGAAGAATCAATCTTCAAAATTCATTTAATGCGCTCAAAAAAAAAAATTATTGAATAAGAATATTTAGATTTAACTGCTGTAGTTATGTGGAAGCATGAAGCATTTGGGGACTCTCTTCTTCCGTGCCCTATATAGACCACAGCTTTCATTGAACGTTTATAACAGATTCAACAAATGGGCATATTTCTAAACTTTGAGCTGGTTTGAGTCTGCCCCATCCAAAAGGGAAAAATTGTAAGTTTCCCATACTATCAGTGAATCCAGTCTCCTCAAGATTATCATGAGAAAAACAGCCTCTACTTCTCACAGCCTCCACAGGGAGGCACAAGTCCTGTTGCTCTATTGACCTCATGCCCACATCTGGAATAGGTCTACAAGGGGGAAAGGAAAAGACATGAAGGCTTGACCAGTATCTAGTCACTATCAAGCGCTTTCCTATTTTAATCTCTCTTTAATCTTGACCTTTAGAATACTATGTTTTTTAAAAAAGGGAGGAAAGAACAAAAAGAAAACACTTTTACTGCCTACGCATGGAGAATTATCAGCTCACTTTGCTCAAACACGGGAAATATCTTTATGAGTTCGGTGGCAATATGCCTGTTGGAACTTTTCTTGGAGTTTTCAGAAGATGGCACATGCTCTGTACTCTAAAAAAGATGTGGGTTGTGCACTATTTTTAGAGGGGTCACATAGCAATGATGAGTGAGACAATTCTTGACTGCTGGTTTGTACAGGTACATAAGGTGAAAAATATTACACACTTTAAAGTAGTAGAGGTTGACAGAAAATTACTGTCATAATTTCACTTTTTTGTATTGTATTCCTATAATAGATGTTTCCTTTTAAAACAAATAGAGAGTCTGTGAGATAATGAGGACAAACATTGAGAATTATTTCAGCCTCATTATTCAATATCCCACTACAGATAAACATTCCCAACAAGGGAACGCTGGGAACCAATGAACATTTGAATCTGGAAAATTAACAGAAAATAAAATCACAGAAACTCACATGACTATAATAAATGCCAGATAATGAACATTTATCTCTTATACTAAAGGCACTACTAATATACAAATATCCTATTAACATATAGAGAAACTCTGAAATCAGCAGTTAGAGAAAGGAATCCATTTAGTTCAATGCCAGCATTAAAAAACAAATAGACTACTTTAAGACTCATGGCAGAGTTTTTAATGAGTTCAATGAAACTGGATATAATAATAAGCAGCTCCATATAAACATTATGGTTTCTACTCTTAAAAAAGTATGATAACTTACTTCCTTAAAAATATAAGCATATCACAAAAACTAAAGGATAAATATATATATAAAAACTCAGGCCCTGGTACCACTGAGAAGTTTTCATAAATTCTAAAATAATTTCAACAGCCATAGCTTGAACGCTACACACCCACACATGACATGCAAAGACAAAATGCCAGCGTCACTGAACAGTTCAGCATAAAGCTAAAAATGTGGGAACAGAATGAGACAGGCATTTGTCATGTAAATTAAGTACACCACAAACTGATTGTGCCTGTATTATAGCACACCTTAGAATTTTTTTAAAAATTAGAATTTCATCAGTCCCAAGAAGCACTACAAGGATCAACAGTGGAGCTCTCACATATGTTTAGGTAAGCAGGTAAAAAGCTATACAAAAGAGTAACACAATTTATTTCAACTAACAACATGATTAATAGATTTTACTTTACTCTGTTAGAAGGTTAATTTGTGGTCATTGTACCCTGTAGATTTTGAAACTTAAATTTATTAGAAATTACTAATGCTGGTTTTTGAGTAATCTAAAAAATTGTAATTACTTGCTCAAATCTAGATTGCTATTTATAGTTCTAAGCAGTTAAATGAAATACTCTGACCAATATTCTAAACTTGCTTTGGTACAAAATCTAGAATAAAGCAAAACTGGCAGCACCACCACAAGTGTGATCGTTTCACAGCAGGTCTAAAGGACCCTCAGAGACAACAAAACCTAAGTTAAAATACTTATAAATAAGAGCCATTCTCCTGATAAACTTGTTACATCATTAAAAAGAGAAATAAAATCCACACTTGGTAAATTATACTTGAGGCCCGATTTTCACGCTCCATTTAATTATCCCTCAAGAGTGTCAAAATTTATTATTATTGCACTATGATGTCTACGTCATAGTTTAGGATGCTTCTAATGATGAGGCCAATAGTTAGAGTGGTACATTTTAATGCTTAGTCCACTGATACTATTTTAACACAAGGTTTAATTTAGCTTTTTTTCTTTTTTACAGCTTTACTGAGGTATAATTGATGTAAAACAAACCGTACATGTTTAAGATGCACAATTTGATATAGCATGAAAAGTGCCTGACAACAAATCAAAAATTTTAACTGAAACGTATTATTTTAAAATAGCACATTCCAATTTTTTATGAGACACAGATATGCATTTCTAAAAAGCTGGCTGGAAAGAAAAGAAATTAATTTAATTCCAAGTACCAAATTTATTCAGAAGGTTTAGGAACACCAAAATTGACAGCCAGTTTTCTTGATTTTCTTCTTGAAGAAGAGCTTGGTGTTGACTTGTGGTGAGACATACTGTGGCCTTGGGAGGCGCCTTCAACTTGAAAAGAAGAAGCAGGTTGAGTAATTTGAGAGGACTTTAAGGAAGCTGATGAAGTCTCCTGTGGAATCACTTTGGTGACATTGGAAGATGTTGGCTGGCTAGTCTGAAGTGGGGTAGCTGGAGCACTCTGGGCCTCCTTACTCTCAAAGTTCTTTTTGTTTGCAACCCTTTTCTTAGTAACCTTTAAGGAATAAAAGCATCATTAATTAACAATGCAGGCAGAAAAAACTAGTGTCATTAAGCATGTTGCTAATATCTGTCAATAATGCTGACTTGTGATTTCTACTTATAATCTCCAAACCAGACTTCAGCAATTAAAGGCATTTAAATATTTAAAAATTCTCCATAACTTAAATTTATATTCCTGATTTTAAAATCACTTGTGCTAGAAAAAAATGTTACTTGCTGCAATTATTAATTATTAGAACACAAACTCAAGATAGCAGGAACCAGGTCAGATTGATCACCACTGGTCAAAATGTATTATTTTTTCTAAAAAATTATTTTTAATTTTTTAAAAGTAATCTCTACGTCCAATGTAGGGCTCAAACTCACGACTCCAAGATCAAGAGTCGCATGATCTACCAACTGAGCCAGCTGCCCCGACTAATGGTCATAATATATATTCTTAGCATGCAGACCAGTACTGGACTTCTAGTTGGCCTTGAATCAGTAATTATTAAATAAACAAATTTTTCTCAATAGTCCTTGAGCATTAAAAAATGAACTCTCTAAAAAATACAGTAATTCTTGGGGCACCTGGGTGGCTCAGTCAGTTAAGTGTCCGACTTTGGCTCAGGTCATTATGTCGCGGTTTGTGAGTTCAAGCCTTGCATCGGGCTCTGTGCTCACAGCTCAGAGCCTGGAGCCTGCTTCGGATTCTGTGTCTCTGTCTCTCTCTGCCCTTCCCCCACTTGTGCTCTGTCTCTATCAAAAATAAATAAAATGTAATACACACACACACACACATTTATGTATTTATGCATACATATACATATGTATACACATGTATACACATATGTATACACATGTATATGCATGTATACATATACATGTGTATACATATGTCATATGTATACATATGTCATATATGATACACACACACACACACACACACATACATATATATATATAGTAATTCTCTTTTCAGGTCTCACCTGTAGAGGTATGAACTGATTGTGCACACCACTGGGCATTCCCCCAGCCATGGGTATGGTCCCAGAATATGAAGCATGATGAAAAGGCTTCCCAGGAACTGGCACTGGTGGTCCCCATGGCATTGAGCCAAAGAGGTGAGATGATGAAGGCATTATATTAGCTGTTAAAAATCATGGAAAAGTTCTTTTTCAGTAAAATAGTACCATCAAAACCCTGAAATTTAAGACCTTCTGCTACCCTTTTTTTGGCTTTTATCATTTTGGCAAAGAGCATATATACACTTAACTTATGATTAATCTTGCTTACAACATTACACCTCGGGACACCCCCTTAGGACCATAAGCCATCTACAGAAGTCAGCTTATCATGCTGTCTGGCCTACAAAGGCCAATGGTATCATATACTAATATGAACTTCAGGAATATTTGTAATACTATTTAAAAAAATAATAAAAGGATCATGAAACTGTCCCTTGGGGGAGAAAAAGAGAGAAATCTTAAGGATCTCACCTGCCCCCAGTGCTAAGTTGCTTCCATAGTGATCCCAGCCTACAAAAAAACCAAAAAAACTCAAGTCTTGAAATCTGATCACTTTCATATGACATGTAGAATCTTTCTTCTCCCTATTCTAATATTTGTAATTCAAGGATTTAAAACATTACATTTTGTTTCATATTAAAAGCACACTGAACCAGTGGTTTCCAAACCTGATTTCTATATCTGAGTATTTGGGGAGCTTGTGAAATACAGATTCCTAGGCAAGGCCTCAGACCTAGTAAACCAGACTCACAGAGGCCCAGGAATCTGTATTTTTTGAAGCACAGTTGACATACAGGATTATATGAGTTTCAGGTGTACAACATACTGACTTGATATTTATATGCATTGCAAAATGCTCACCATGACAAGTGTAGTAACTACCTGTCACCATACAAAGTTATTAAAATATTATTGAATACATTCCCTCTGCTGTACTTTTTCATCTCCCTGACTTGATCAGTACAAAACTGAAAGTTTGTATTTTTTAGTTCCCTTCACCTCTTGTGCCCATCCTCCAACTCCCTCTCCTCTGGCAACTACCAGTTCAATCTCTTTTTATGAGTCCGTTTCTGTTTTGTTTGTTTTTAGATTCCACATATAGAAGAAATCATACGATATTTGTCTTTCTCTGTTGTACCTTGATGGACACTTAGGTTTCTTCCATATCTTGGCTATTGTAAGTAATACTACAATGAACATAAGGGTGCATACATCTTTCTGAATTAGTGTTTTTGTTTTCTTTGGGTAGATACACAGAAGTGGAATTGCTGGATCATATGGTATCTCTATTCTTAATTTTTTGAGGAACCCAAGGAATCTGTATTGTTCATGGGCTCCACAGGTGGATTCTTATTCAGTTAGTACCAGTGCCGCATATGGGAACTACTACATTAAACAATGACGAGTGAGACACCAGCACACTGCCACTGAAGGAAGATATGTACTGTGTTCAAAATTTCTTTTCAGAGAAGTAAAAAGGCAGCCAGACCTATAAGATAGGATAGTTTGATAATTCAGCCACTTAAAAAAGTTTTGGATCAGGAGAAAAGAATCATAATGTATTTTAGTATTCTGAATTAAACATGTACAAATTCTTGCATGAAAAAAACTTTTAAGATGAAAAATGCTAAAAATATTTATAAAATTAGGCCTTGATACTACCTGTAAGCAACTCTGGTGTCTGTCATAATGTTAAGAAGATCTATTTAAAAGGTGCTATATTGTTATTTATTTATTTATTTTTTGAGAAAGAGAAAGAGGGAGCATGTGTGCAAGCAGGGCAGTGGTACAGGGAGAGGGAGAGAGAGCATCTTAAGCAGGCTCCATGTATAGCTTAGAACCCAACTTGGGGCTTGATCTCATGACTGTGAGATCATGACCTGAGCTGAAATCAAGAGTTGTGAGCATAACCGACTGAGCCATCCAGGTGCCCCTAAAAGATGTTATAGTAATCTTATGCATAGATCAACTCCACAATTTCCCCAATGAATCATTTTTCTAAGCATAAAATACACTTTCCTCCATTTTTTTCCACTGGGACTTTTTCATATCATAAAGTAGGAATCTATAAAATAACTTAAAAATGTTAATCTGATGCTGAAGTTTTTTCTCCTGATTAACATTTAAATATCTTGGCTTTTCTGGGGCACCTGGGTGGCTCAGTCGGTTAAGTGTCTGACTAAGGATCAGGTCACGATCTCGTGGTCTGTGAGTTTGAGCCCCGCATAGGGCTCTGTGTTGACAGCTCAGAGCCTGGAGCCTGCTTCAGATTCTGTGTCTCCCTCTCTCTGCCCCTCCCCCACTTAGGCTCTGTCTCTCTCTCTGTCAAAAATAAATAAACTTAAAAAAAAAAAAAAAAAGAAATCTCTTGGCTTTTACTTGTACTATATATATATATATTCTCCAAAAGTCAGCAGGTATTTTCTTTATAGTTCAGTGAATTTCTGAAAAGAACCATCTTCCAACTTCCTACATGAGCTATGGCTGGCTACAAACTGAGAACAGGATAAGGAAAAGGAACTTTACCTTAATCTCAGTTTTCAGCCAAATATTTGTACTCTGTGCCTGGTGTTCCCGAATCTAGAGAGTCCTCTGGAGAATATACTTCCAGCGCTTTGCCTGAAGGGGCTGTGTGGGGTGGTATCTGAGGAGTCCCATCTCTCCACATACAGACTTTGAAACAATCCCCCTTTTTTCAGCCCATGCCTCATTGGAAGCTCTGATAGCTTCTGATACTTTCAAGCTCTGAAACTTTTAGGATTTATGAGGGAGGAGAGATGCTCATCATCTCATTTGGATTATCTTCTACAGATACTTTAGGGTAGCTTATCCCTGCTCTGCTAAATTAGTTATTACTCTGTGAATTGCTTTTCTCATCATGAACTCTTTTCAAATTTCTAATCTGCTGATATTTCTTCTTTTAGCTCTCTGTCCTTATAAGTGTAAAAGGTTTACACTTTTAAAATAATTTATTGTTCAGTTTCATGTAGTGTGGGCCAAGAGAAGAGATAATTTGTTTAATATGCATTATTAAGTTTTCTAATGTTTGTAGTGAGGATTAGCTGTGTAGAGCTCCTACACTAATATCTCAGAAAATAAAATTTCTAAACCTGAAATAAACAAATGATTGGTTTTAAAATATAATGAGTAGGATATAAAGAAGCCAAATGCTATTAGGAAAAAGGGGTGATAAAAGAAAAGTTTAATAAGCTTAAGATTTAGAATCATAAAATTATAAAATGGTAGTCTCAAAGAAATCCTGGACACAGTCTAGCATAAATCAGAAAATGGATTCCCAAAGAAGTTATATGATTTTTGCAAAGTCAGGCAGTAAAAGACCCTGGACAAAAAGAGTTCTGATTACAGAGTGACCATTTTATTCCCTCAGAACACTAGGAAGATCCCAAATGGCTACAGGAAGCAGGGAGCTACCTGCTTGATAACTCAGGCTCTACATTTGAAAGAGGAAGACAGTTATGAGAGAATATTAAGAGACACACAGTAAACTTAGAAACTCCTCATTCTTCATTTTGAAGCTTCATCATCAAGGGCAGTTTCTTTCACATCCACAGCTTCAAAGCCTTATCTGTTCTTTATTCCCTCCACTTGTTTTCCTTCCCCCTTTCCCACCTCTGTTTTGATGTCTAACTTAAACCTAAATTCATCTGTCGGCAGCTACTGGGGAATAAGGGACTGCCTAGAACAAAGAACAGTCCTACTTCAGCTAGACTAGAGGCTATAGAGGGGAATGGTATTTCTAGATAAATCTGCAATCTCTAGTTCCAGTCTTATTTTTCTCACAATTCCTTCTTACATTCCCTAGATATTTAAATACATTTTTGGTTTCCTCAAAATGATGTTTCTTAAAAGAACTTTCTAAAAACAGAAACTCAATAACAAATATTTAAAAAGGCCAAGTATCTTACCAGTAGGTTGAGGAAAAACTGGAGGAATGGTTCCGGGTGGTACAGCAGGAGGATAATTTGGAAATATTGGTGGAGGAAAAGGGAAATTCACTCCTAAGGAGCCCTAAGGAAGTATTTAAAAGTTAGGAGACAATGCAACAAAAACATCTATAGAGATTAATTAAAAGTTTAGTAGAGAAGTCATGATTAATTCTTACCAACTGTTGTAACGCAAAAAGTGCAGCTTTTTCCTTGGCTTCATTTTCAGAATGGCACTGTGGCCCATGTACCAGTAAGCCATTAGATAATTTTACCTGGCAAACTGTCATCGTCTAAAAAAGAGAACATGAATGTCTATGAAGTTATCTGTCTAGGAGGTTGACCTTCTCCCCTCAAGCTTAAACAAGTAGAATACTTTCATGTGACATTCTATAAAAAAGAATTCAAAAATTCAACAAAGGACAATCATTTTAAGTTTTGGATTGCCCTGCAAAATTTTAGAATTGTTTCCTTATCTTGCCATGTTTACAAAATAAAATGCTCTTTAAGCTAGCTGAAGGGTCAGGCATCCTAATGCAAATGAAAGCCAACAAAATTTTTTCCTTATATCAAGGGTTGGGAAACTAGGCCTTCTGCTTATTTTTATAAATAAGGGTTGTGTTTGCAACACAGCCAAGTCCCTTCTTTCATGTATTGCCTAAGTCTGTTTTCATACTATAACTGCCCAGCTGAGTAGCTGTGACAGAGACCATATGGCCCAGAAGGCCTAAAATACTTACTATCTAGCCCTTGGGAAAAAAAAAATTCTGACTCCTGCTTTACACCATCCTCCAATTAGCAGATATTTCATTAATATGAATTAACTGCCAAAATCTAAAAGACTTAGAGGTTATGTCCAATTTTATGTTCACATAGAAGTTACAACTCTTTATTACACATTTTTTCTTTTATAAAAAATTTTTTTAAAAAATTCTACTTTTTTAAAAGGTAGTCATTTTTATGTGATGTTGTGAGTTTAAGCCTACTTTCTATTTTAGGTGAGAATATATTAACAACTTGGATATAAAGAGGATCAAATAAACTTTCCTATCGTCTGTGGTTCTCAAGGTACAGTCTGGGGCCCCTAGGGGTCCCCGAAACCCTTTCAGGAGGTCCTTGAGGTCCAAACTATTTTAATAATGATATTAAGGTGCTATTTGTCTTTTCCACTCTCAGTTTCTCACAAGTATATAGAGGACAAAAAATTCACTGATATAGCTTTAGATTCTACACTGCAACTAACTTCTAAGAAAATACCATATTTTAATGTAGTATCAAAAAGTATCTACTATCTGCAAAGGCTATTACAATTCCCTCCTTTTCTCTAACTATCAGTCTGTCTGGGGCCAGATTTTCTTCATGTATTTTAACCAAAACAAATCATAAGAGATTGATAGTAAGAAGCAGATATGAGAATCTAGCTTATTCCATTAAACTAGAGATGGAAAAGATTTGTAAAAGTGTAGAGCAGTGCCACTCACTAAAATTTTTGAAAGGTTTTTAATAAATAATGCTTTTAATTTTTTGTTTTAATTTCTAATACAGTTAATATAGATATAAAACAAGTAAGCAAAAATCCTTTGGGGTCCTCAAAAAAAAAAAAAAGGTGGGAGTTTATTAGGCCAAAGCTTTGAAAATTGCTGCTATGGACCAAGATCCCTAGCTCTATCAATCTGTCCAAGACTACGTGCTGCCCAGGTTCCTCTTTGTCAGCATCTCTGAGGGCTCTGGTATAAATATGAGTGAGCCATAGTGGGAAGAATAAATCTATGTTGCTCATAACGTACAAAAACTCAGCTCCATTATATTATTTTTAGCCAAAGATTTTCAGTTAATCTATTTAAGATCAGTGTTAAAGAACTTAAATAAATGGAACAGTAGTATACTATACCTGTGGTGTTCTAAGAAAGGAGAAATCTGGTTGTGGCATTCCAATAAGGGAACAAATTCGAGAAAGTTCAGTTACTGGTGTGGACACAGGAGGGATATGGCTGGGAGCAGGCCAACACACATGGTCCATAGGCTGAACATTATGGTATTCGCTAGTACTGTGAGGCTTATTCATGTAAGATGCTACCAAAAAAGAGAAAAGAATATATCTATATTAAATGATATACTGAACTATGCAGTTATTGTAGGGTTTTACAGAGAGCAAGCAAAAAATTGTTAAAAGGTGAAAAGAGGAATCTCCCATGAAGCAAATAGAAGAACTATCTAGTACTGCCTAAAATTACCAAGAATTCAATACAGATTTTTAAATGACTGTAACTGAGTAATGATTCATGATGAAGATTTTAAAACATGGTAAGTAGCTGACTGCCAAAAACTGACATCTTGAGAGATTAATGACTACATAGTTATTTTCGAGCAAAGCAAAATTTGAATAAGCAAATAGTTTTTTTTTGAGCTGATTTACAATTCTTTTTTTTTTTTAAAGTTTATTTATTTTTGAGAGATGGAGAGAGACATGGCATGAGCAGAGGAGGGGGCAGAGAGACAGGGAGACACAGAATCTGAAGCAGGATCCAGGCGCTGAGCTGTCAGTACAGAGCCTGACGCGGGGCTTGAACCCACAAGCTGTGAGATCATGACCTGAGCCGAAGTTGGACGCTCAGAGGACTGAGCCACCCAGGCACCTTACAATTAATTCTTAAGTTTTGAGGCTTTGGGTTCATTCTTGTCAAAATCCATCCTACATTCTGAGACACATGGATAAATGGTCTTATTGCTCCAAAATGAAGCTGCTTAAAAGTTTTTCTAAAAGTAACCCTTTCAAGTGCTTTTACAGATGATTAAAACATTCTAAGAGTTCACATTCTTTAGGATGAACAAACTAATAGAACAAAAGAGCATACCCCAGTGAAGAATGAACCTAAACCTGTCACGTTATAGATTTAAAAAAAAAAAAAGGTTACGTTGCTAGCCTAAAGCCACACAACTTGCAAACTCTGTTACTTGGGCTGGATTCTGAGCTCTCGACTCTTAAGAGATATATTCTTCATTATTCTGAAATAAAAGTTACTTGTTTTTTGACAGCAAGACCATCTTTTTCCAGTTTTGTTATTCCAAGAGCATGTCTGTCACCAGGATAGTTTCCTAATAGCTACTCAAATTTTAAATTGATTATCTTATTATTCACTGGAATATAAAATAAATGAAGCTAGGCTCTGATTCTGTTCCAGATTTTGATGCTTAATGAAGTCAGTTCTGTTTATCTCAAACTGATGTTTGTTTGTTTGTTTGTTTTACCTGAGAAATTTCTGTCCCCACGTACTTTTGCATTAGTCATTCTTCCTGGTAGGCTTTTGCAGATAATTATACAGACAAAATACTGAAGTATAGGGGACAGAGACAGTAGGGGCAAATATGGATGTGTACTAAAATCTGGCTATGGGGCACCTGGGTGGCTAAGTTCATTTAAGAGTGTGACTCTTGGTTTCGGTTCAGGTCATAATCTTGCGGTTCGTGGGCTTGAGCCCCACATCTGGCTCTGTGCTGACAGTGTGGAGCCTGTTTGGGATTCTCTCTGCCCCTCCTGTGCTCTTAGTCAGTCTCTCTCTCAAAATAAATAAATAAACTTAAAAAAACCAATCTGGCTATGTATTTGCCAGATGGCATGCTATAGGCTTCAAAATTTTAAGGTAAGCACCCACTTTACAGTGTCTACCTCCATTAATTATTTATAATTGATTTTGTAGCTTCTTCTATTGGCCAAGCTACTAGAACATAATGCTATATCAATTATAGGTATATTGGTACCTGTAATATGCCAGACACAGTGCAAGCTGCTTTGTATGTTTCATATAGTTATTGCAAGAGTCCTTTACAATGTTATTCTCATTTTATAAATATGAAAAAAACCCTTAAAATCTTAGTAAAGTTAAATACTGTATTTAAGTTACAAAACTATTTTTAAATTACTGAGGGAAAAAAAGCTAGAATGTGAAAACTTGTCTAGGTTTGGGCACTACAGAATGAGTATCTGCAAAAGCACAATTTAAGTAATCATAAGAAGACATTTAGGGACTATAGAGCTATTAGTTACAGAGTTATATTATTATTTAATGACACAGCATAAAAATTACATTCTTATTTGTTACTCTTCATTATACCCTTTTAAAACTACAAGTAGTTTTATCTTCAAAAGCACATGATAAAACAACCCAAATGAACGGAACATCTGAAATGATATTGGTTACTAGTACTAGTACTTTGTTCACGTACTTAATTTCTTATTTTGTTGAGGCTGTGAGGAAGGTCCATATTCATCTCTTCTATTAGAGGAAACAGTGGCTTCATTACCAAACTGCTTCATTTCGTTCTTATGGTCCACAGTATCAGAGGCATCAATTTTTAGTATTTCTTTAAGCATCCGAGTTCCTTTCTGTTTTTGAAAATAATTGGTATGGAGATGGTGGGGGTAGGTGGAGAAAAGTTAACCTTAGAGTTACAGAGCTTATTAACCTTTCTTTTAGTGAGTGCTAGTGTTAAAAATTAAGATGATAATTACATTCAGGTAAGGAATGAGCAAAATCAACAGTCTAGAGTTGAAACAAAATGTCCACATTTCCTGCCACAGAAACAGTACTTATTCTTCTGCTTAACTTGACCAAATTACCTGGTGGCAATGTTTGAAAAGCAAACATACAGGTCTAAAAAAACCAAACATACGGATAACTAAAATGCCCAGGGAAGCCTGGTTTTCCCTACAAGATGACAATAATGATGCAACATACCAGTCCACAGGACATAAAAGTGTTGTAACAGTTGCATGGGGTATGTATGCATGCGCCACAATAGTAAAATTACTACAGACAGTACAAAAGCTCCTACAGAACACAAACCATAGCAAATGACTGTGGTGACAAAAGTTCTTCACTTGGAGGCTCTTCATGATGAGATGACTGTACTTCATTTTCTTTGGAGATATTCAAGGATGCTAAAAAGTTCTCAATTCCAGGGTTAGGCTAAAAGAATAAATATTTTGTGCATAAAGATGAAAATATGAGGACACGGAAAAAGCTAAGAATTTTAGGTACAAAAACGATCATTTGAATTTTCACCCAATCATCTTCCCAGCTGCTAAAGTTTGGCAACAGAAATTGAATAAATGGTCTTTTACCTTATCAACAGCATTTGGGTAACCAGTCAGAACCTTCTGGTTTTCTGAGACTTCTGCACTTTCATTTCTCTTCAATAGCTTAATATTACATTTGGCAGGCCCTCCAAATGTCTATAAAAGAGTTAAGAATGAGCTTTTTGTGCAAATAGCTGCCATTTAATAGTGTTCTAAATAAATTACTGCAAATTTTTTTAAGTGCCATTTTCTTTTATATCTTAAAAATGGGGCTTGTAAACTTGGATGAGGAAAAAACTTAGATCTGCATCTTCATTAACTTCTAAATGAGATTTAGCATTTCCTTCAATTATGAATATTCCTTCAATGAAGCAATAGTGGTGATTCTAATTGCATTTCAATACAATTAATTTTCTTTCAAATCTTAAGTATTTTAGCATTAAAAACACTATTCTGAGAAAGAACCCATAACAAAGTTTATAAATCCCTTCCTAGAAGAAAGGAAATTATAGCATAAGAATTTCAGAAAAAGAGGGCCTTAAAAGTCAACCATTACTGGTATCTAAATATTAATGGGTTCCATTTGCTGATAACCTGGCATGTGCCAAATATTCTGCTAAGGTGCCTTTTATATATTTGATATATGACTAACTTATAAGAGATAAAATTCTTAAAAAATTAAAAAATATGCATATAGAAAGTACATATACCATAAGTATATGTGTTGAATGTTTTTAGAGTAAAAATTTGTTATTCTTTGATCATAAAATGCATATACTCTCCTAATCAATCAGCGAGACCATACAAAGGCAAACATAAATAACCTCAGCTTCCTCCAACACCAAGCTACTCCACACAATTAGTCATGAACTTTGCTATGTTGATCCTAAATGAATCATTGAATATACACATATTTCCACAGATTTTATACATACATACATACATTTATGTACGTAGGTATGTTTGTATGTATGTATATACAGACTAAATGTATCAAGTGAGATAAATCTATTTTTATCTCCATTTAATTAATTTTTATTTATTTATTTACTTTATAAAAGTAGGCTCCAAGCCTAGTGCGGAACCCAACGTGGGGTTCCAACTCACGACCCCAAGATTAAGACCTGAGCTGAGATCAAGAGCTGGATGCTTAACTGACTGAACCATGCAGGCAACCCTGCATTTTATTTATTTATTTATTTTTAAATTTTTTTTTTCAACGTTTTTATTTATTTTTGGGACAGAGAGAGACAGAGCATGAACGGGGGAGGGGCAGAGAGAGAGGGAGACACAGAATCGGAAACAGGCTCCAGGCTCTGAGCCATCAGCCCAGAGCCTGACGCGGGGCTCGAACTCACGGACCGCGAGATCGTGACCTGGCTGAAGTCGGACGCCCAACCGACTGCGCCACCCAGGCGCCCCTAACCCTGCATTTTAAAGATGAAGAAATTAAGGGGGCACCTTGGTGGCTCAGTTGGTTCAGCGACCGACTCTTAATTTTGGCTTAGGTTGTGATTCCAGGGTTGTAGGATCGAGCCCCATGTTGGGCTCAGCGCTAAACGTGGAGCTTGCTTAAAATTCTCTCTCTTCCCCCTGCCTCTCTCCTCTGCTCGTGCTCTCTCTCTCTAAAAAAAGAAAAGATGAAGAAATTGAGGCTATAAGAGATGTAGTGAGTTGCTCAAAGCCACCCAACTATTAAATACATATCTGTTTATATATTTATATATATGTATGTGTGTATAAGTATCTCTAGTTCCAAATCCTGACTCTAGCTGTGTAACTTCCCATCCAAGTGATTACGGATTTGGGCAACTTATGGATTTGGGCAGCAAAATTCAGATGCCACACAGCTACCCACTGTAATAAAAAGCTGGCTACTAGAATTTGATTTAAGAAAGCTTACCTGCTTATTTGACATTTTTTGTGACCGGCTCTCAGTTTTAGGACTCTTACACTCTTCTTTAACTAGAGACAAGAAAATAGGAATTTTGGTAAGTGAAAAGTATTGCTGCAAACTAGTGAAATTTACCAAATATCTACCACAGCAAGACTCTGTATTGAAAATTCACAGAATTCTAAGAAGACAAAGGCCCAGACCTTGAAAAACTTTTAATTTGGATGAGTGGAAGAAGATATACTCACAGATAACAACAAGAGAAAAGGAAAGGTGTGACATGTAAATGAGCCTTGAAGTATGTAGGTTTGCAAAGGGAGGCTAAACATTTCAGGCAAAGGAAATAACAGGAGAACAGAAATGGAAGCCGAAAGCAAGGAATGTATTTATGGAACTCTTACTAGACTAGTTCCACTGGAGATCAAGGAATATAATGGAGCTAATCCAGTAAGCAGTGGGCAACCAATGACAGAAAGGTTTTGAGCAAGTAGTGATCTCATCAGAATTGTGCCTTAGGAAGATTAAAATATGGCAGTGGCATAAAGAGTAAGAGAAAAACTAGGAAGCTATTTTAGTATTTCTGTTAAGGGTAAATTGGGAGAATGGTAAGAAAAATGAAAAGGATAAATTAGAAGACGAAGGAGTAAAGGAAAAAAGAGGAAAAGAGGGAGGAAGGGAGAAGGGAAGGGAAGGAGGGTGAAGGGGAGATGAACAGAGGTGGTAAGAAATGAGCAAAAATAGGAAGACATGGAACAGAAGAGGGGAAATAGAGGAGGGGAGAGGAGGAAAGGGAGGTAAGGAAAAGAAGAAGGGAAGGAAGTAATCTTGCAAAAGTGAGGAAAAGAAAAAGCAAGTTAACATGTACTGACATTAAGCCTTTGTTGAGACACACACAACAAAACTGGAATTCTAACTAATGTAGTTACATGCACTCATGTAAATAATAATTTGAAGAAAAATCACAATGCATTCCAATTAAATATAGAACCTTTAAGCTATATTTATCAGATTTATAGGGTATCAATCTATATTTAATTTAAAAACGTAAATGAAACAAAAATAACATATAGATACTGGTGCAAAGTAGTTGTCAAACTGAACCAAAGTTATAAAACCACACAATTTTTTTTGAAAATAGCTTTTTAAAAAAATATTTTAAAAGACCATTATTATAATATATGTAAGATACACACACACACACACACACACACACACACACACACACACACATAAGATACATGCATACATCAAATATAATAAATTAGACTCAGGACTCCGCACTTGATATTTCCTCTGCTGGAAAGCTCTTCAAACGTTCTGCATAACTTACCCCATTTCACTCCCTTTTTTTGGTGTTTCTGCTCAAAACTTATGTCCTCAGAGAGGCAACCCTTGACCACTCTACTTAAAATACCACCCCTATCTATACTTTTAATCTGCTTTATTTTTCATCATAGCACTTATAATTACTACAGATTATGAAATTTATTGAATAGGTTTTTTTTGTCTATTACCAGTCTTTGCCTTAGAATGTAATGTCCATTAGGCTGAAAAACTTGTCTATCTTGTTCACTCATATATCCCTTGCACCTAAAACAGTACCTTGCACATAACAGCTCAATCAGTAGCAGCTGAATAAATAAATGAATGAATAACAACTGAGTCATATTTTGAACACAAAGAGCAATTTTCAGCAATTTGGGAATATTCTGATCAAGAGAAGAGAAAAAGTAACTGCAAGATGAAGATTCTTATCTCTGCATCTACATTCCCTACTGTGCCTGGAACACAGTAAACACTACTGAAGGAATGAAAAAAATAAAAATGTACAAATTATGTTAAGAGAATACTGCAACACAGTATACATATTTTTATTTATTAAGATTTTATTTTTATTTTATTTTTTTAGAGAGCGAGGGCACAAGTGAGTGAGGGGCAGAGAAAGAGGGATAGGGAGAGAGAGAATCCCACAAGGGGCAGAGAGGGAGACAGAGAAAGGGACAGAGAGACAAGCAGGGCTCACTCGAAGTGGGGATCGTGCTCACCCAAGGTGGGGCTCGACCTCACCTGAAGCGGAGCTTGAGCTTACCCGAAACAGGGCTTGTGCTCACCGAAGTGGGGCTTGAGTTCACCAGTAGTGGGGCTCAAGCTCAGCTGATACAGGGCTCAAACTCACAAACTGTGAGATCATGATCTGAGCCAAAGTATGATGTTTACCCAACTGAATCACACAGGTGCCTAATACGTATTTTTAATAAAAAATTGTAATATAGGTTGGAGTAATTTAATAAGCAAATGTTTATACACAGAAAAGTAACTGGATTATGTTAAATAAAATTTATCTCAAAAAGTAGTAAGGAGACATCAGCAAAAATGTCAGAGTAAGGACTTCTAAAAGTTCTCTCCTCCATAAAAGCAGCAAGAAAATGGGCACAAATTACCAAAATCCAAATTTTCAGAACTATGGAAATGAATCAAAGGCTTTTAGCAATCCGGGGAGTATTTATTCAAGGAAGAAGTCGGACTCTCAGAACAGTGAGCTTAGGGGCTTTTTAACTTGCCCTAGTCTCAATCCCCACTCTATAATTCTATGCCAAAATCCTCAATAAAATACTAGTAAATCAAATCTTATAGCATATAAAAAGATTATACACCGTGACCTAGGGGGATTTATCCCAAGAATGCAAGGTTGGTTCACCACAGAGAAAACAATGAATGGAATATATCATTTTAATTAAGCACAGAAATAGCAACTGACAAAATCCAATATCCCTCCCTCCAAGGGGGGGTGGTGGTGGAAATCAACAACCTAGGAATAGGAGGGAAATTCCTCATTTAATAAAGGGCATTTACCAAAACCCCACAGCTAACATTACACTTAAGCTGAAAGACTGAAAGCTTACCCGAAAGATCAAGACAAGAAAAGGGTATTCTTTGCATAAAGATGGTATATACATCTGTGGAACAGAATTAACAGGCCAGAAATAAACCCATTCATCTACAGTCAATTGATTTTTAACAAGGGGGCCAAGAAAATTCAATGGGTGCCAGAAGAATTCAATGGGAAAAGAATAGTCTTTCAGCAAATGATGCTGAGACAACTGGATATCCACATGCAAAAGAAGGAATATGGACCCCTACCTCATACCATATACAGACACTAATAAAGACCTAAAGTAAGAGCTACAACTACAAATCTCTTAGGAGAAAAGATGAGTGTAAATCTTTGTGACCTTAGATTATGCAATGGTTTCTTAGATAGGACACTTAAAGCACAAGCAACCAAAGAAAAGTAGAAAAGATAGATCAATTAGAATTGATCAAAACTACAAACTTCTGTGTTTCAAGGACACTATAAAGTTAAAAAGACAACCCACAGAATGACAGCCCATATCTGTAAATCAAATATCTGAATAAGCATTTAGTATACAGATTTGATAAAGGACTCACACAACTCAAGGATGAAAAGAAAAGTAACTCAGTTTTAAAATCAGCAAAGGTGGGGTGCCTGGGTGGCTCAGTCACTTGAATGTCTGACTCTTGATTTCAGCTTAGGTCATGATCTCACAGTCATGGGATTGAGCCCCATATCAGGCTCCACAATGAGCATGGAGCCTATTTGGAATTCTCTCTCTCTCTCTCTCTCTCTCTCTCTCTCTCTGTCTCTGTCTCCTCCCAGCTTGCTTGCTCATGCTCTCTCTCTCAAAATAAATAAATAAATAAATAAATAAATAAATAAATAAATGAATGAATGAATAAAAAAATGAGCAAAGGATTTGAGTAGACATTTCTCCAAAGAAAATATACAAACTGCCAATAGGGACATGAAAAGATCCTCAATTTTATTAGTCATTAATGAATCACAAATGAAAACCACAAAGATTTCACTTTATACCTACCAGGATGGCTAGAATAAAAAAGATGAGCAATAACAAGTATTATGGAGGATGCAGAAAAACTGGACTCCCATATATTGGTGGTGGGAATGTAAATGGTACAGCCACTTTGGAAAACAGTTTGGTAGCTCCACAAAAAGTTAAACATAGAGTTAACATACGACTCAGTAGTTCAATTCAATTGGGTATATGCCCAAGAGAACTGCAAACATATGTTCACACAAAAAACTTGTACATGGATATTCACAGCAGCATTACTCATTTTAGCCCCAAAGTGGAAGCAACCCAACTGTCCATCAATGGATGAATAGATAAACAAAATGTAGTATTCATACAATGGAATATTATTCAGCCATAAAAAGGAATGTAAAAATTAAAAAAAGAAAGGAATGAAGTATTTATACACACTACAACACAGATGCACTTTATGTTCATTATGCCAAGTGAAAGAGGCCAGTCACAAAAAAATCACAAATGTTATGATTCCATTATATGAAATGTCCAAATAGGTCAATCCACAGAGGTAGAAAGTAAATTAATGGTTTCCAGGTGCTGGAGGAATGACTGCAAAAAGGTATGGTGTTTCTTTTTGGGGTGATAAAATGTTCTAAATTTAGATAGTGGCATATGTTGTACAACTTTGTGAAAACACCAAAAAAATCACTGTAAATACTTCAAAAGACTGAATTTTATAGTATGTGAATTGTAACTCAATAAAACTTATTAATAAAAAAAAGCAGTTAGCATCATAAGTTTGTTTATTCTGAACTTTAAACTTACATTTTTTGTGAGGCTCATGTTTTCTTTGCTGACATTTAACAGTGTTGTCAGTAAAGGCGGCTTTATGATGTTGAGTTACTCGACTTATTTCTTGAGGTAGAACTGCAATCTGAAAGTTAAAATTCTTATAAATGATTTAAGCAAACTTTTAATATTATAACTACTTTTCCTCAAAGTGAGGTTCAAAGTGATAGAAAAATTGTAGAACTCAATAACAGGAGAGCTGATATTTGAGCTCTAACTCTAAAACCCATGTTCACAGTACTGTTTCAAAGAAAAAGTATGCCATAAGTTTAATTAGAAAATATTCTAGTTTTGGGTATAGTTTTTTGGGTTGTTCTATTTGATATCTACATAAAGCTATTTGTTACTCATATTTTTCCAATAAAGGCCTAAATATTTTTTAAAGATATTTAAAATTTTATTTTTATTTTATATTTTGTAAAGACCTTTTAAAAAGCAGCTTTAGGTACAAAATGAAGCTGAGAGAAAGGTACAGAGACATTTCATAAACCTTTGGTCTCCACACAGGTATAGCATTCCCCATTGTCAACATCCCCAACCAGAGTGGTACATTTGTTACAACTAATGAACCTAAATTGCATACATTTCATTATTACTTAAAGTCTATAGTTTACACTGGGTTCACTCTTGGGTGTTACATTCTGTGTGTTTGGACAAATGTATAATGATATGTATCCACCATTATACGGATTATTTTCAGTGCCCTAAAAAATCTTCTGTGCTCTGCCTACTAATCCTTTCCCCCTAACCCCTTGGCAAATACTGATCTTTCACTGTCTCCATAGTTTTGCTTTTTCCAGAAGCTTGAATACTTAAAAAAAAACTAAACAACAAATTTTAAAATATTTTATTTTTGAGAGAGAGAGAGAGAGAGAGAGAGAGCAAGGGAGGGGCAGAGAGAGAGGGAGATACAGGATCCGAAACAGGCTCCAGGCTCTAAGCTGTCAGCACAGAGTCTGATGGGGGGCTCAAACTTGTGAACCATGAGATCATGACCTGAGCCAAAGTCAGATGCTTAACTGACTGCGCCACCCCGACACCCCCACAAAATAATTTTTTTAAGTAGGCTTCATGCCCAGTGTGGAGTCCAATGCAGGGCTTGAATTCACAACCTGAGCTGAGATCAAGAGTCAGATGCTTAACTGAGTGAGCCACCAAGGTGCCCTGAATACTTTTTTAAAAATCATGTTGAGCTGTCTAGAATTTGGTCATCAGATGAAAATTAGGCTGCTTATTAATGCTTCATGGATGTAAGTGATATACATGATCTCATATTTCTTGGAAATATGAAAGTGTTTAGCTGGTATAAATAATGAAATAGCACCCAATAACAGGAGCAGCATGCAGACGATTCTGAAGAAATACAGTATCAAATGTTGAGTTCTATCTCAAGGAAATAGGTAGTAAAATGACTAGTAGACCGAGATCTAGGGGAATTTTGGTAGTGAGAGAGGAATGTGGAAGGAACAGTAAGAACACATAACCTGAAGTGGGAATTACCTACTTGTGTGAAAGGAAAGAGACCAAACTTACTAAAACAGACCATTTTATCAAATATTTGGATATACTTTATATAAGAATTAGGTAGAGTTAGATTATAGAAGGTCTAGCTATTAGTTTCAGTTGAAACTAATGAATTCCACTAGTACTGAAGAGGGAGCCCTGTACATTCTAGAATATTTGAATAATATTGTTTTACGGATGGAAAAGAGGTCATCTAACTCCAGTGCCTTAATTTTACACACAAGGTCCCAGAGGACCAAGGAAGTTAGAGTTGCTCAATTTGAGTCACCAAATCTGATTTCCTGATTTTTAGTCTGGTACCAGATTTATCACACCACAGTGCCTCAGGGAATAAACTGACTTCAAACCCAGGTGCTCTTATTAGACATTTTGCCCAATTATGCCACTGGGTCCACACAGTTTTGTGAAAGGATCATCAGGAAAGATCATTAGGAAAGATGCATCAAGCAGTACTGCGTAAGAAGGACCAAAAAGGAAAAAGAAGCAGGAAGCACAGGTAGAAGGTTAACCTAGGCTTAGGATAACACTCTAAGGTCCAGTTGTGGGAACCGAAAGGAAATAAAAAGATTTGGAGTCTCACAGCAAAAAAAAAAAAAAAAAAAAAAAAAAAAAAAAGAGGAAAAAAAGAAAAAGTTTTTACTCCATGCTCATCAGATTATATGCCGTGGAAAATGGTAGTGTTAGAAATAAGGATAAGAGAGGAAACTTTAGGTGAGGTCAATTCTAAAACATCTTGAGGTTGAGATGATGGTGGGGTATCCATCTATACCTGTCTTCTAGAAAGTTGGAGATACTGGCTTAGATCTTGATTGAGAGGTATGGATCACATAGATTGAGTGGTAATTAGCAGTAAGGCAAAAGGGGGAAGAAAAAAAAAAACCAATTTGTTGTCCAGTTTTAGGGAGCAGTGCCCAGTGAATGGTTGGAAAAATAGAGGTTAAGAAAGAAGGTGAACACATGGCAGAAGGCCAAGAAGGGAGTCAGGGTAATGTTTCCTTTTAGAGTGTTAACTCCTTCGAAGTAGCTGCCTATATTTTCTGCCTCTATTTTTTCTTCTCCTCTTCTCTCTTAAACCCACTCTTCTTGGTATTTCACTCTTATCACCCTACTTGAAACCGTTCTTGCCAAGATTCCTAATGACCTCAGATGCAAAAACTCTATGATTAATTCTCAGTTTTCATTTTAATTGATCCATCACCAGCATTTGACACAGTTGATTATTCTACTTGACATCCATTCTTCACTTGGCATTTAGAACACCACACTTTACTGGTTTTCTTCCTATCTCATTGGCCATTCCTTCTCAGTCCTCTTTGTCAGATTCACCTAATCTCTCTGACTCGTTAAGGATGGAATTCTCTAAGGCTAAGTTATTAGACCTCTTCTCTATTTACATCCACTTCCTTGGATATACATAGATATAAACATATAAATAAACAAATACATGCCAAATTTCTCTCTCCTCTGTAACTATCAGAGACACTGACTCTGCATCTCCACTCAAATTTCTAACTCTTAATCTTCCCTTAGATGTTTAATATATACCTCAAATTTACCATGACCAAAACTGAACTCTATATCTTCCTCCACAAACCTACTTGACCTGCTATCTTATCCATTTCAGGTAACAGCCCCTCTATCCTTTTAGTTACTAAGACCTTAAGAGTTACACTCTTTAATTCATTTTTTTTCTTTTAACCCCATATCCAATTTGTCATTAGATGGCAATCCCTTCCATATATGACTAGAATTTGATCACTTCTCACAGCCCCCTACTACCTTGGTCCAAGTCACTATCAACTGTACCTTGATGGTTCTAGTAGTCTCCTAACTAATCTATTTCTACCCTGGCTCCTATACATTCTATTCCCAAGATAGCAGAAAGAATGATCCCATTAAAATATAAATTAGATGTCATTCTGTTTCTCAAAACCATTCACTGATTCCTTATCTCACTGGGTAAAAACCAATGTCCTTATTAATGACCCAGAGGATCCTGCATTGTATCGATGTATCACCTCTCTAATTACAACTCACCCTACTGACTGAGAACCATAAGTCTTTTTTCTCTACCTTGAGTACACCTGGATTCCTACCAGGGTCTTTGAATTTGTCTGGAATACTCTCCCTTCACATATCTACATGCCCTAGTCCTCATTTCATTCAAATCTTTACTCAAATGTTACCTGATAATTCTATTTAAAACTGCAAAACCATGGGGCGCCTGGGTGGCGCAGTCGGTTAAGCGTCCGACTTCAGCCAGGTCACGATCTCGCGGTCCGTGAGTTCGAGCCCCGCGTCGGGCTCTGGGCTGATGGCTCAGAGCCTGGAGGCTGTTTCCGATTCTGTGTCTCCCTCTCTCTCTGCCCCTCCCCCGTTCATGCTCTGTCTCTCTCTGTCCCAAAAATAAATAATCGTTGAAAAAAAAAAAAAAAAAAAAAAAAAAGAAAAAAACTGCAAAACCTTGCCTCTACCTCTCCTGCCAACATTTTTTATCCTCCTTCCCTGAACTTTTCCTTAAAATTTTGTATTACCAATATGCCATATAATTTACTTATTTATTGTCCTCTCCTCCCAAGGATACCGATTGTTTGAGGGTCAGAGTTTTTGTTTTGTTTACAGCTATGTCTCATTGTATAGAACAATGTACATGGTAGGCAATCAAATACATGTTGAATGAAGTAATGAAATGAATGAATGATAATACAGTACTTCTAAAGAATGAGTAGTTAGCAGAATCAAATAAATTAGAGAGGAAAAGAGGGTTTGAAAATCTGGATATAGATTATATTTAGGTAGAAAGGATTTATGGATGATAAGCAAAATTTATAATAGCTATTGGCAGAGAAGACCTGTGTATTTTGTCCCTCTCACTTTTTATGTTTATTTTATCATCATTTCCCTTGATATTTTCTCCTCTCTACTGTGATAAACTCTGATAATGCCACCATTATTGGAGGACATTAGAACAAAAGAGGCCTTCATGGTGTAGGCTACTGGTTTATAAACCTGAGAGAACATTCCCTCTTGACCTGAAAAGATAGGTCAGTAGCTTGGCAAGAAGAGTTGTGTTGTAGGAATGTATTATTATTATTATTATTTTTTTTTGTCTGAGTCAACTTTTTTTTTTTTTTTTTTTTTTTTTTTTGTTAGCAGAATTTCTTTTCTTCTTAATCTCTATTAGGGAATATGAATTTGCTCATTCACATTTAAGACAACCAACTGCCAGAATAAAGCTATACATGCAAGTGAAAATGAGTAAGTTAATAAGTGCCATTAAGGCCTCTGCTGAACTTATTTAAAAAAAACTTTTTTTAATGTTTATTTATTTTTGAGAAATAGAACACGAGTGGGGGAGACGCAGAGAGGGAGACACACACACAGAATTCGAAGCAGGCTCCAGGCTCCAAGCTGTCAGCACAGAGCCCGATGCAGGGATCAAACCCACAACCGTGAGATCATGACCTGTGCTGAAACTGGACGCTTAACTGACTGAGCCACCCAGGCACCCCAAGGCCTCTCTGAATTTAAAATACAGTTATTATGATTTTGCAAACAACTAACATAAAATCCAAAACTGATTTAAAAGAAAAATTATCTGTATTCCCACTTATGAGTCCAAAAACTTTTATATATGGCTGAAGAGAATTCTGAACATTCGTGATTAAAAGCATTATTTCTCTTTTATGAGATTTCTGAAGAAAACTAGTCATTGCATACCCAAAAGAGAAATGTAAATCTTGTTGTTGCTGTCTTTAAAATTTATTTATTTTGAGAGAGAGAGAGAGATCATGGGAGAGGTAGAGAGAGGAAGGGGGAGAAAGAGAGAGAGAGATCATGGGAGAGGAAAGGGAGAGGGGGAGAAAGAATCCTAAGCAGGTTCCACGCTGTCAGCACTGAGCCCCACGCGGGGCTCGATCCCATGAACCATGAGATCATGACTTGAGTTGAAATCAAGAGTTGGTCACTTAACTGACTGAGCCACCTAGGCACTCTGTCGTTGTTTTTTTAAATTAAATGTCCATCAAACAAGGTATACTAACCTTCTCTTGTAGAGTTGGCTGAAAGTGCTGAACCTTTCCAGATCCCTGTAAGGACTGCCAAATGTTGCAAAATTCATCATCATCTTTACTAGGTACCTGGCAAAGCACAAAAAATTTCTTAAGGAAGTGAAACAAAAAAATTAAGATTCATATTAAAAAATAAAATTAATTCACTAAAGTTAATTAACAGTAGACAGGATCTTAACTTCCGTTATCTGAAATCTCACTTCTTTTTTTCTGGAGCTCAGTAATCATAAAAATATTCTATTGGAGTGAAAATGGCCTTCATCATATGTAACTAGTTTTGAATGGTTTTACTGAAAAGTAAAATGTTAATTTCCTTATTTTTGCGAGACAGAGAGAGCACAAATGGGGTAGGGGCAGACCGAGAAAGCGAGACACAGAATCTGAAATAGGCTCCAGGCTCTGAGCTGTCAGCACAGAGCCTGATGTGGGGCTTGAAGTCACGAACTGTGAGATCATGACCTGAGCCAAAGTCAGATGCTTAACTGGCTGAGCCACCCAGGTGCCCCAATTGAAAAATCTTTAAAGCATGACAAATGCTATGGATTATACTAAATCAATATCCCTATGAAAATATTTTTTTTGCCTTCCAATGTACTGATATATTAACTCATTCAAACTAGTCTCTAATGATTTTATTCTTAAAATCTTCCTCTTACACAAAAGCATCTAATAGATTAAAAATCACCTATTACTTATGGGGAACTGATTTTGTTCAGATTAAACTCTGAAAAAATATGCACCAAAATTTAATAGTGGTTACCTATGAAATTTGAGAGTATTTTTGCTTCTGTTTCCTTTGCTCTTATCTCCTTATCTGTGTTTTCTAATTAGTCTATAATGAACACATATTACTTGGATTAAAGTGAGGTTAAGATAAAAAAAAAATGTGATTAAGATTTGGGGACATGGAATAAGGTTAAGTGTCTCTCACAAAACAATTCAATTTTGTCCCCAGAAAGATAAAATAAAGTAAATCACCCATGAGTTGCATAGTAGAAACTTGTAAATAACTTTTAATAAATTTAATTCTCTCCCTGTTAACGTTTCAAATTCATGTTATTTCGTAGTAGATATAACATTTGAGTTATATAAGAAAAAAATGGAAACTTTAGTTTCAAAGGTAAATATATGAAAACAAAACAGACATCCTCAGGCTATTTAAAAAATGTGTTTCTTCTTTAATATAATTAATTTTATAACAGAGGTAGAATGCTATCAGTAGCACTCTTTACTAGTCCATTAACTTAAAATAAATCTGAAATTGATTTGAACTAAAATTTTTTTAAAAACTAAGTCAAATTATGTTTCCACTTACAAAGTCTGCCTGTGATTTGTAAGGGGCAGAAAGAAATGAGACTAAGTGCCTTACTTGAGTAGGAACAAAAAGTGATTGCGGGGAATGGTTCAGGCCTCCCAAATGCCCAGAGGAAATTGATGAATTTGAGCTATAGTGATTCATAGCTGGTTGTGGTTTCACAATGGCTGTCAACTTCTGATTTCCAGTTTCAGAGCGACTCCCATGAGAAAGATTCACCAAGGCACTTGTTGGCAGTCGATAACCTCTACCAGGTGAGCACCTAAAAGTAAACAGTTATTTCAGGGGGAAATAATACTAAATGTGTTAGGGAGCAGACAAATCAAATTATTTTTGGGTGGACAGTCAGTCCATAATCTGAATTAATAAACGTTACTCTTAAATTCAGCAGAGGAACCTGAAATCATAGAAAGATCTCAATTTATAAGATGATACATTTCTGAAAAGTTTCTGAATAGACTACTCAGTGCTACCAAGTGGGGGAACAACTCTTCTACAGGTGTGGTGTGCAAGGGATGTGTGTATGTGTTAGTTTGCTCTCAGAAGGCTGGCAACAAAATATCTGAGTATAACTAAAAATTTATGAATTAAATGTCAAGCTTCTTTTAAAAACTGGGTTGTACAGTTTGGTTTATGAAAGACCAGGAGATACTCAAATGCGGCACTGTTCTCAGTGGACCTCTCCCTACACAATAGGGCAAATGTTAACTTTGATCACATTTGTCTCCTGATCAATTGCTGAGTCTAGCCTTTTTATCCTCACCTTCCCATCTTAAAGTTATGGACCCAGGAAGGCTTAATAGATAAGTATTTGTGATTTCCTTCCTTCCTAGCCTTAACAAAAATATTAGATATTAAAATAAATCTTCTCTTGTCAAAAGTTCTTAACTCTATTATGCACTTTTTCTAAGAATATAATCCTCTTATATTAAGAGATGATGGAGTAGAATTATTTTATGACAAATCTTTATATGATCTGTAGAAAATATGTTCATGAGAACTATACTTAAAGATTCTGCATTATAGAAATGAATGTACAGGTAATCTTTTACATAGCTCTCTATCAGTAAAGAAATCCAGTGCCTCTACCTAGGAGTGAAAAAAAAGACACTGAGAAAAAAGTTAATCATCTTAAAAATGTATCTTCTAAGTTACTGGGCTAAGGTTACTGGTGATCAAACATTTTCATGAAAAATAAAATCAGATAAGAGATCCAGACTCTGCTGCTGCATTTGAAGATTGTAGACAGTTAAAGTCTTTCGGTAACAGGCACATTTGAGTTGTAAAACAACAGTAATAGCATTGTGAGGGTTACCTGGAAAAGGACTGACAATAGTGATTTTATGCAAATAAGCTAAACAAGGGGTGCCTGGGTGGCTCAGTTGGTTAAGTGTTCGACTCTAGATCTTGGCTCAGATCTCAGGGTCATGAGTTCAAGCCGTCTTGGGCTCCATGCTGGGTGTGGAGCCTACTTTTAAAAAGAAAAGAGACTAAACCAGAGTAATCAATTTTTTATTTAATTAGTCACTAATCAAAATAGAGGAGAAAAAGAAACTAAGCTAAATTCAGTTTAGCTTTCCAGCTAGTTTCTAGAAGGGAGACAGGAAACTGGAAAGGACTTCATTTAATCCTCACAAGAATCTAGTGAAGTATGTATCTTCATTATAAATGAGGAAATTGAGGGTCAGAATGCTTTGAACTACCTACTCAAGGTAACTCAAAGAATAAGTGAGAGAACCCATTCCATGTACCTTTCATTCTATCATAATCCTTTTTCCTGTACATTTTCTATCAGTGCTTCCCCCAAATAAATAAAACTCACCCATATTAATTTAAACAAAAAATCCAATTCTCTTCCTTTAAACCTGCTAACCTCCAGTTATCTTTTCTCTCCTTCATGGTCAAACTTCTCAAGGGTCAGCTCAATTTCCTGCCTTCTCAAACCACCTGAGTCTGGCTTCAGCATCCACAATTCCACTAAAATGCAAATCTGATGTCACAGCTTTGATTTTGATGACTTCACATTGCTTTAAGGATGAAGGCCGAGATACCAAAATCTTAACATGTCCTCAAAGTTGGCTTACAAGTTCCTGCAGTGTGGTTCTTGCTTTTCTCTTTTACTCTAATCTTGTTAAAGTTCAGACACACTTGCATTTTTTTTTTTTTTTTTGAATGACTGAATAGGTCCTTTGTTGTATGTTGTTATTTCTTCTTCATGACCACTTAACATTCTTCTTCCCTCTTCCTCCAGTTAGCTATTATTCATTCTTTAAGTCTCATCTTAAATACTTGTCAAGAAGGCTTTCTAGAATTCTCAGGACAAGTTATACTCTTATAGAAACCTGAACTTTTCCTTCCCAGCACTTCTCACATTTTAACTAAATAACTAATATTATAATCAGTTACACAATTACCTCCCCCACTAAAATGAAAGCTCTGTGAAAGTAGAAAGCATGTCTGTCTTACTCATTGCTACCTTCCCTGGTAGCAAGTATGATGTCTTGCATATAAGAGGAATTCAAAATGAGACAAATAAGTACAGTAAAGTCACTGGTCACATGTTCATATTCACAAAGTATAATTATCATCAGGAAATACAAACCTTATTGTTAAGCCTCCGGGAAATTCTTCATCAAATAATACTTCAAATAGTACATCAGCTTCTCTGTTAGCTGTGAAAAAAAAGAGATTTAAAAATCAGGGGCGCCTGGGTGGCGCAGTCGGTTAAGCGTCCGACTTCAGCCAGGTCACGATCTCGCGGTCCGTGAGTTCGAGCCCCGCGTCAGGCTCTGGGCTGATGGCTCAGAGCCTGGAGCCTGTTTCCAATTCTGTGTCTCCCTCTCTCTCTGCCCCTCCCCCGTTCATGCTCTGTCTCTCTCTATCCCAAAAATGAATAAACATGAAAAAAAAAAATTTAAAATTCATATAATGAAAAATCAGCTTATAAGTTTTTGAACTTTGAGAAACATTAATTACAATTATCAAAAAGTAGTGCAGGGGAATACTGCACTACTAAATTAAATATTAATTTAAAGCAAAATAATATTTTAAATTATACGCTTTGGGAAGATTAATTATGTTTTTCTCTCTGCATCTGTCTATGTTTGAAATTATTCATAATAAGGGGAGGGGCCAACATGGCAGAGAAGTAGGGGGATCTGAAGTTCCCTCCTCTCTCAAACAAAGCAAGGTTGAAGATAAAGGACTTTGAATTCCAAGAGTCTGGGAGGCAAAGAGACAGTAGCTTCCAGGAACCCACCAGGACAACCTGACGGGCCAGAGGTGTGTGACTGCGAACTGGGAGAGATAAATTGAACGGAGGGGAGGGATCCCCTTCTGCAGAGACAAAGGACAAGAAAGAGAGGCTGGGGAAGCATAGGACTGTATCTGCACAAGAGAAAAACCATGGACCTGGACAGAGAAAGGGCCAATCTCTAATTGAGGGGCTTTCTCTGGACTGGGCTGGCTGCCTGGATCACGCACCTGGGCAGGAGGGGAGTCAGCCCCAGGTTCGGTGGCTAGGTCAGGGGCACAGTCCACAGTGGGAGAAAGTGATCCTCTCCCTGGAGTGCTGTGGGACAGGACAAAGCCTGCCTGCCTCCGCCAGTCAGAGAGTGGCACTCCCCCAGTACCCGGGCACATGGAGCAGGAGTTTGAATCCCAGGCAAGCGCCAGGGCACAGGAGTCGGCCGGGCAGGACAAACCGCCTTGGTTGCACCCATGGCACAGTGAGGACGGCTTTAACAGAATGGTTTGGGACACCTGGTCTGTGGAGGAGAGCCTGGGGCGTTGTCATTTTTCTCCCCATTACCAACAAGGTGGGGCTTCAGGCATCGGCCCTAGGGCCCACAGTGGAGATGTGACCTGCCTAAACCAAACCACACTCCTCTGCACCTGGTAACTGCATATCTGCTGGAGTGGGATGGACGCTGACAGACAGCACCAGACAGCCCCTCCTCCAGACCAGTGCTGTTGCACTGCCTGGTTTAATTCTCAGACAATTCTTACTTATAGATATGTTCTTCCTTCCTTTTCTCCTTCTTATCTCTTCCCTCCTCTAGTCTGGTTACTCTGGTTATTGGTTTGTTTAAGCAGACATATTTAATCCATTCTCTTGATACATGTTCCACACCTCCTTCTTTATTCTCCTCTCTCTCTCTCTGAATTAAGCCATATAGTTTCTGTCTGGACAATTTTATTTTCTTTTTCCCCTTTTTCCTCCTTTATTTTCCTTTCTCTCTCTCTCTCTCTGGATTAAGCTGTATAGTTTCTCTGGTCAACTTTTATTTTTTCTTTTTCCCCACCCCTGTCATTTCTTTGTATGGGATAAGGCCTCTTCTATCAGCACCGCTTCCACCATATTGTTTACTTGTAGCTGGTGTTTCTGGCTTTTTGTTTTTGGGTTTTTTGTTTATTTGTGTGTTTGTTTTTGTTTTCTGTTTGTTTTTGTTTGTTTTCCTTTCCAGGGCTACTTTAACGAACAAATCAAAGCACACCTGGTGGAGGGTTCAAAACATCACTATGGACAGGGAGATAAAGTAACCAAAGTCGCAACAACAGAGAGCAAGTAACACTCTCCAAAAAAACATCTTCTACAGGGCCAGGCCCTGGACAATGTATGACCCCTCTTTAATATGGTAGTGTTTGCAGGTGCAGGACACATAACAAGCTTTTAAAACACACATAAGGGACAAAAAAACTAGCCAAAATGACAAAATGGAAAAATTCTCAAAAGAAATTCCAGGAAGAAATGACAGCTAAAGAATTTCTCAAAACAGATATAAACAATATATGTGAACAAGAATTTAGAATAATAGTCATAAGATTAATTGCTGGACTTGAAAAAAGCATAGAAGACAGGAGAGAATCTATTGCTACAGAGATCAAGGAACTGAAAAATAGTCATGATAAATTAAAAAATGTTGTAAATGAGGTGCAAAATAAACTACAGGAGGTGACAGTGAGAAATGATGAGGCAGAGGGGAGAATAGGTGAAATAGAAGATAAAATTATGGAAAAAGATGAAGCTGAGAAAGAGAGAGAAAAAAATTCTGGATCATGAAGGGAGAATCAGAGAACTAAGTGATTCAATGAAATGGAACAATATCTATATCATAGGAGTTCCAGAAGAAGAAGAGAGAAAGGGGCCAAAGGTGTGCTTGAACAAATCATAGCTGAGAACTTCCCCAATCTGGGGAAGGAAACAGACATTGAAATCCAGGAGGCACAGAGAACTCCCTTTAGATGTAACTTGAATTGATCTTCTGCATGACATATCACAGTGAAACTGGCAAAATACAAAGACAAAGAATTCTGAAAGCAGCTAGGGATAAATGGGCCTTAACTTACAAGGGTAGACATAAGGGTAGTAGCAGACCTATCTACTGAAACTTGGCAGGCCAGAAAGGAGTGGCAGGAAATTTTCAATGTGATGAATAGGAAAAACATGCAGCCAAGAATCCTCTATCCAGCAAGCCTGTCATTCAGAATAGAAGAAGAGATGAAGGTTTTCCCAAACAAACAAAAACTGAAGGAATTCATCACCACTAAACCAGCACTACAAGAGATCCTAAGGGGGACTCTGTGAGTATTGCAAAGACCACCAAGGACCAGAGCCATCACTACAAGCACAAAACCTACAGACAACACAAGACTCTAAACCCGTATCTTTTAATAATAACACTGAATGTAAATGGACTAAATGCTCCAATCAAAAGACACAGGGTATCAGAATGTATAAAAAAAATAAGACCCAACTATTTGCTGTCTACAAGAGATCCATTTTAGACCTGAGGACACCTTCAGGTTGAAAGTGAGGGGATGGAGAACCATCTATCATGCTACTGGAAGTCAAAAGAAAGCTGGAGTAGCCATACTTATATCAGACAAACTAGATTTTAAACTAAAGACTGTAACAAGAGATGAAGAAGGGCATTATATAATAATTAAGGGGTCTATCCATAAAGAAGAGATAACAATTATAAATATTTATGCACTAAATTTGGAATCACCCAAATATATAAAAAAATTAATCATAAACATAAGCAATCTTATTGATAAAAATGTGCTAATTACAGGGGACTTTAATACTCCACTTACAACAATGGATAGATCATCTAGACAGAACATCAATAAAGAAACAATGGCTCTGAATGATATACTGGACCAGATGGACTTGACAGATATACTTAGAACTTTTCGTCCTAAAGCAGCAGAATATACATTCTTCTGAAGTGCACAAGGAATATTCTCCAAGATAGATCACATACTGGGTCACAAAACAACCCTCAACAAATACAAAAGAACTGAGATCATACCATGCATACTTTCAGATCACAATGCTATGAAACTTGAAATCAACCACAGGAAAAAGTTTGGAAAACCTCCAAATGCATGAAGGTTAAAGAACATCCTACTAAAGGATGAATGGGTCAACCAGGCAATTAAAGAAATTTGAAAATATATGTAAACAAATGAAAATGACAACACAACACTCCAAACCCTTTGGGATGCAGCAAAGGTAGTCCTAAGGGGAAAATACACTGCAATCCAAGCCTACCTCAAGAAACAAGAAAAATCCCAAATACAAAATCTAACAGCACACCCAAAGGAACTAGAAGCAGAACAATAAAGAAACCCCAAACCCAGCAGAAGAAGAGAAAGAATAAAGATCAGAGCAGAAATAAATAATATAGAATCCAAAAAAAAAAACCTACAAACAAAACAAAACAAAACAAAAAACAGTAGAAAAGATCAATGAAACCAAGAGTTGGTTTTTTGAAAAAATAAACAAAATTGATAAAACCCTAGCCACACTTCTCAAAAAGAGAGATGACCCAAATAGATAAAATCATGAATGAAAATGGATTTATCACTACCAACCCCTCAGAAATACAAGCAGTTATCAGAGAATACTATGAAAAATTATATGCCAAAAAACAGGACAACCTGGAAGAAATGGACAAATTCCTAGACACCCACACACTACCAAAACTCAAACGGGAAGAAATAGAAAATTTGAACAGACCCATAACTAGTGAAGAAATTGAATCAGTTATCAAAAATCTCCCAACGGGGGCACCTGGGTGACTCATTCAGTTAAGCTTTCTCACTTCAGCTCAGGTCATGATCTCACGGCTTGTGAGTTTGAGCCCCACCCTGGGCTTTGTGCTGACAGCTTGGAGCATGGAGCCTGCTTCCAATCTGTGTCTCCCTTTTTCTCTGTCCCTCTCCTGCTCATGCTCTGTCTCTTTCTCTCAAATATAAATAAATGTTAAAACAAAAAAATTAATTAAAAACAAAACAAAACAAAACAAAACAAAACAAAACATCTCCCAACAAATAAGAGTCCTGGACCAGATGGCTTCCCTGAGGAATTCTACCAGACATTTAAAGCACAGATAATACCTATCTTTCTCAAGCTATTCCAAAAAATAGAAATGGAAGGAAATCTTATGGACTCATTCTATGAAGCCCACATTACCTTGATTCCTAAACCTGAGAGAGACCCCACAAAAAAAGGAGAACTACAGGCCAATATCCCTGATGAACATGGATGCAAAAATTCTCAACAAGATACTAGGAAACTGAATTCAACAACATATAACAAGAATTCTTCATCATGATCAAGTGGGATTCATTCTTGGGCTGCAGGGCTGGTTCAATATTTGCAAATCAATCAATGTGATACATCACATTAATAAAAGAAAGGATAAGAACCATATAATCCTGTCAACAGATGTAGAAAAACCATTTGACAAAATACAACAACGTTTAATAAAAACCCTCAAGAAATTCGGGATAGAATGAACATACTTAAACATCATAAAAGCCATATATGAAAAGCCAGCAGCTAATATCATCCTCAATGGGGAAAAACTGAGAGCTTTCCTGCTGAGATCAGGAACACAACAGGGATGTCCACTCTCACCACTGTTGTTTAACATAGTGTTGGAAACCCGAGCACCAGCAATCAGACAACAAAACAGAATAAAAAGGCCATCAAAATTGGCAAAGAAGAAGTCAAACTTTCACTTTTCGCAGACAACTTGGAAAACCCGAAAGACTGGCTAAAAGACTTCTAGAACTGATACATGAATTCAGCAAAGTTGCAGGGTACAAAATCAATGTACAGAAATCGGTTGCATTTTTATACACCAATAATGAAGCAACACAAAGAGAAATAAAGAAACTGATCCCATTTACAATAGCACCAAGAACCATAAGATACCTGGGAATAAACCTAACCAAAGATGTAAAAGACCTGTATGTTGAAAACTATAGAAAGCTTATGAAGGAAATTGAAGAAGACACAAAAAAATGGAAAAGCATTCCATGTTCATGGATTGGAAGAATAAATATTGTCAAAATGTCAATACTACCCAAAGCAATCTACACATTCAATGCAATATCAATCAAAATTGTACCAGCATTCTTCTCAAAGCTAGAACAAACAATCCTAAAATTTGAATGGAACCACAAAAGACCCTGAATAGCCAAAGTAATATTGAAGAAGAAAACCAAAGTGGGAGGCATCGCAATCCCAGACTTTAGCCTCTACTACAAAGCCGTAGGCATCAAGACAGTATGGTATTGGCACAAAAACAGACACATAGACCAATAAAATAGAATAGAGAACCCAGAAGTGGACCCACAAATGTATGGCCAACTGATCTTTCACAAAGCAGCAAAGAGTATCTAATGGAAAAAAGACAGTATCTTCAGCAAATGGTGCTGGAAAAACTGGACAGTGACATTTGGAAGAATGAAACCGGACCACTTTCTTACACCATACACAAAGATAAATTCAAAATTGATGAAAGACCTAAATGTGAGACATGAAACCATCCAAATCCTAGAGGAGAAAGCAGGCAACGACCTCTTTGACCTTGGCTGCAGCAACTTCTTACTAGACATGTCTCTGGAGGCAAGGGAAACAAAAGCAAAAATGAACTATTGGGGCCTTTGGAGTTTGCAGTTTTGAAGGCCTTGCAGTAAGACAGATAAAAGATGACAAAGATCTGAAAACATCGTAGTTTATTTAATAAAAGGAAGAGAATGGAGAGAACAGAAATATTATTAGATAGAATTGGCAGGGGTCTGTGACCTGTGTAGATAAAAAGGATGGAGACACCAAAGATGACTCCAAGGTTCTGGCTGAGATGACTTGGTCGATTATGGATGTCATAACTGAGATATGAGACACATGAGAAAGATTGCAATAAATTTAGATAGGAACAGAGAAGAATACATTTGGCAGAGAGGCTGATGAGATATATCTGGCAAGATTAAATTTATCCAAAATGCCAAGGTAAAGTGAAATAATTAGCTATAATAACATTTTGAACTCTAAGCCCAAATTAATAATACAGTCACATTACTTGAGAATTGACTAACCCTCCCACTCCCCTCCATCTCCCTCTCTTTTTTTCTCTCCACCCTTCCCCTACTCCTTTCCACTTTATTGGTTCTGTTTCTCTGGAAAACCCTAACATAATATCTGATAATATCCTAGCCTGTGGTAGGAGTGGAGGGATGTCTGTATTTTTTATTAAAAAGGACTAGGCAAAAATGAACTATTGGGGCCTTTGGAGTTTGCAGTTTTGAAGGTCTTGCAGTAAGACAGATCCTTTACTGCCCAGCCAAAACCAAGTCTGCAGAGCTCATCCAGTGTCCAACATCCAGCCGTACCTTTTAACCTGACACTTTTACTTGAAATCTAAACTCAAGAAAGTGAGGCTCAATGAGAGGCAGGAGTTTCTCCTCTGAAGGCTTAAAGCTCACCTTCTAGGTTCCCATTCCCCATCTGAGGGAGGGGCCATTTCTCAGAAGATTATTAAGATTGTAAAAGATATGAGGATTGTTCACTCCCTCTAGTAAAGATGACTATGGAGATGAGGTCTCAGCTGAGGACAGTAATGACAAATACTCCCCTTTTTATTCCATGTCCATGGCAGACATAGTTAAAAATCAATGACAAAGCTCTTTCCCACTCAGCATAGATACAATTTTAAAATCCTTCTCAAGACAAAATCCCAAGTAGTCACTATTACTGATAGGAGTGGTCAGAAGAAAGGAAACTTCTACGTTATCAGGGTCCCAAGACAACTTGACTAGAATACAATCCAATAAGCTCAGTATTTGAACAGCTGATGCATAGGGTTGAGCAGATAGCAGCAGGGGCTTGTTGTTTCATCACACCCATCTGACCCTTACCATTCCTCACCTAAACAATCACACCAAGGTTGAGTGCCTGAGACAAGAAAGGACAGTGCTGCCAACACCCTGACCCCTTGGCACCTGATATGTTGCTTCATGCTACTTTGACTTTTTTTGGAATCTATGCTGCAAAGCAGCTCATGCCAGGCATCCCTCTGAGGCACATTTAGATCCTTAGTTGCTTCTTCCTTTTTCTCTCCATTTTCTCATATTTTTCTTTTTAATAAAAAATACACGACATAAAATTTACCATCTTAATGATTTTTAAGTGTGCAATACAGTTAACTATGTACATTATTGCTCTCTGCTTAGATATAAGACACTTAATTTGTGTTTTACTTTACAATACAGAAACAGTTGAAGACACACCAAGTACTGAGATATTACCCCCTTTAATTCCTATGATGGTGCCCCGAAGGCCAACTGGAACTGAAAAGTTCTCTCTCACATTTACCACACGGTCAAAAAGACGAAATTCTGCATCTCGATCAGGAATGACTCCATGTTGCTGTTCTAAAGGCTGAAGAGAAGAAAGCTTTAATTATTATTAACTCTAATTTGAAATAGTTTTTCTATCACTATAACAAAAACATTGTGTTCTTTCTACACTTTCAAAGTAAAAACAACTTTGAATTCTTTGATAGGAAACTTACTCTGTACAGCAAATGGGGCTTCACTGTCACTCGTACCTTCTTATTATTCTTTCTTTGCTGAAGAAAAAAAATGTTTAAATATTTAAAAACATAAAATTATAAAATTGTTATCTGATTTTATATTAAAAATATAAAATTATTATTCATTTGGACATGATTATATTTAAAAAGCCAAATGAGTAATTAAAAGAATATTTGAAGTTCTTCAGATGCAGCAAGGAGGAATAATACATACTTAAAAATTTTTTTTAATTAAATTTTTGTTGAAGTATAAGACACAGAAAAATGCAAAGTTGTATGCATACAGCCTGTGAGTTTTTATGAGCTTATCTATGTATAACCATACTGAGTTCAAGAGAGAACATTAGTAAGCACAACATAAGAACTCCTGTATTCCCTCCCAGTTACTACCATTCCCCAAAATAACCTTATTTCTAACACAAAAGATTAGATTTATCTTTTGGAACTTTATGTAAATGTTATCCTACTCAAATACTTTTTTACTCTAAAAAGAATTATATCTGATGGCCAATGAAGATTTATATTAAAGGAAAAAAAGGTATGAAGTACTGATCTATGACATTACTGTCGGTTTTCTGGCTACTTATTAAAATTAAGGTGGCATTCATTTAACAAAGTCCTTGCTTTTGGAATCTTTCATGAAAATGGCTTTGATGTTTGAATTTTTTGATCATCTGACAAATGCCTGAAGAAGACTTTTGTCCCATCTTTACTCCTTGTTAATTTTGTGAACTCACACTCAAATTAAGCATCAGCTTCCTTTTACTGTAAGATAGAAATATTATTACCTGTTCTATCATAGTTTATATCCATTGCAATCCATAACTACCATTCACATTAAATATTTTTTAAATGAATTCTCATCTACTAAGAAAAATGGCAGCAGTTTACTTATACGGCAGCCCCTATCCTTAGAACGTAGTTTATGGAAATAAGCACAAAAGGCATAAAACAGCTCCAAGCTAGAGGCCATACAGTAGAGTTCATGTATTTATATATTGTAAAATGCTCAAGCCTTTAAATAGAGCCTATTATCTTTTATTACAAAGATATTTGATTTATTCTTTCAAATGAATCTTTACTGAGTTCCATTTACATGCCATGTATTAATCTGGATGCTAAGGATAAAACTGTGACCTATTCCTTTAGTCTACTTAGAGAGACATACAAGAAATAAAATAAGGAAAATATATAGTATGTTTGATGGTAGAAAGCACAGAGAAAAATAAAGCAGGTAAAGGGGATCAGCAGTGTGTAGAGAGGTCATGATTTTAAACAGAATGAATAGGGGCGCCTGGGTGGCTCAGTCAGTTAAGTGTCTGACTTCGGCTCAGGTCATGATCTCATGGTTTAGTTCAT